ACACACACACACACACACACACACACTACACACACACACACACACACACACACACACACACACACACACGCACGCACGCACACACGCATGCAAGTCGATCCAACAACTAAGACATAAAACCGGCGCGCCGTTGATGTACGGCCGTGAAACGCGACGCCAGGCCAGCGGCAGATGTGCGCGAGGCGGCGGCGGCGGCGGCGGCGGGGAGCGGCGGCAGCGGCGGTGGTGGTCGCGGTGGTCGTGGTCGAATAGCCCCCGACGAGGGAAGCAGTGTGTGGTACAGAGCAGCAGGGGGATGGGCAATGCTCTGACGCTTAATTATTATATAAACAAAAATATCTAAATAAATAAATAAATAAATAAATAAATAAACGAATAAGTAGATAAATGAATGAATAAATGAATTACTGAATGAATAAATGAATTGCTGAATGTATGGATGGATGGATGGATGAATGAATGAATATATGACTTAATTAATTAATACATAATTAAATAAATAAATAAATAAAAATAAATATATCGCTCGACGGCTGCTTGAGAATATACGAGAAAGCATCTTCGTTTTATATAACTCTTTATTGAATAAGATCAACTTCCCAGGAATTATAGAGATCTTAGATGATAGCATTCAAATTATTGTGATGTATATACGACTAGACGAATACGATATTGATTCTGAATTTAAAAATATGGTTTTCGTTTACGCTCAATTTTATCTGTATTTGCAATAGACATTTAAGAGACTTTATTTTATTCATCGACATATCAAATTATGATATTCGTATTTCTGATAGTCTCGGAATAATTTATTTGTCAAATGATTGTTGGAAGCATCAATCAAAAGCAATTTCATGTCTCCCTCTCCGCCTTCCCCTCCTTGTCCACTCGCCTCTCTCCTCCTCTCGTGCGTACCTTCATATTCTCGTATTAATTATCTCTCTTTCCCCCCTCTCTCTCTCTCTCTCGCGCGCGCGCTCTGCGCGCGCTCCTCTCTTATTTCTTCTCCTGCTCTTCTGTCTCCTCTCTCTGCCTCTCTCCTCTCTCTCTCGTCTCTGGCTCTCTCGGCTCCTGCGCTCTCCAGGCGCTGCTCCGGATCTCCGTGGTCTCTCTCTCTCGCGGCTCTCCTCTCTCTCAAGGAGGTCCTTTCTCTTGCGCCGCGCGACTCTCATCTCTCTCTCTCTCTGCTCTGCTCCGTCTCTCTCAGCTCGGCGCTCTCTCTCTCTCCTTACTCATCTTCCCCTCCCTTCCTTCCTTCCTCTCTCTCTGCTCTCCCTCTCTCTCTCTCTCTTCCGTCGCGATCTTCAATTAAGTCAATCATTCTTTCACCGTCCTCATCGTATTCTTTTTTATCTCCTCCGCCTCCAGGTCAACCGCCCGATGACAATGAAGAAGGAAGGCATACAGACGCGGAACCGCAAGTTGTCGACGAAGAGCAAGAAGAAGAAGGGTCACCTTCAGCTATCGGCGCTCTCCATCCCGGAGATCTGCAAGCCGCACCACGGCATGGACTCCAAGTTCTCGTCGTTCGGCAGCGCCGCCGGTCTGTCACACTACATGCCAACAGCGGTGACGTCGCATCTCAGCCACTACGTACCGGCCGTCTCCAGCTCATTCGCCATGCCGCAGTCGCACCACGCCGCCAGCTCGCTGTCCTATCACCACCAGGGCTCGCTGTCGTTCGGCACGTCGAATGGCTTTAGCGGCATCGTCGGCGCGCTCGCATGAGGTGTGCCCCGCGAGAGGGCGCCGCCGTCGTCGCATTAGTTCCGCGAGATGGCGCCGCTGTCGTCGCATGAGGTCGCCCCGCGAGAGGGCGCCGCCGTCGTCGCATTAGTTCCGCGAGAGGGCGCCGCCGTCATCGCATGAGGTCGCCCCGCGAGAGGGCGCCTCCGTCGTCGCATGGAGGAGCGCGCCGTTCTCCCTCTCCTCGTCTCCTCCCTTGATGCTCCCGCTGACGGTGTGACGGGAGGGTTCCTGTTCCGACCTTCTCCCGCGCGGGCGGGGGGAAGGCGCGTGATGTCTCGGCGCGCGAGATCTAGACTGTGTGATGCTGCGTGCAACGGGAAGGAAGGAAGGGTGGAGAGAGGAGAGGTATTCGAGGAGGAGTATGAGGAGGAGGAGGAGGAGGAGGGGAGACGCCTCAAGCAGCGACGGAAGGGATCCCTGTGGATACTTGATGTCGATACATCAATATAATGTATACAAGAGGTGAATACCTGTATAACGTATATAAATTATGTATACCTGTGGTGTATACCTGTGTAATGTATACAAATTATGTATACTTATGGTGTATACCTGCACAATGTATACAAATTATGTATACATGTGGCGTATACCTGCACTATGTATACGTGTGGTAAATATCTGTATGGATTTGAGGAGGAAAACATGAGCTTACTTACTTATAACGATGGTCCCGTAACATAGTACGTGTGCACCGACTACCGGATGTGTGTGTGTCACCAAGCCCTCGCTGTTTCTTTATTTAAATAATCGTCACCACGTATGTATGTGTATATATATATATATATATATATGTATATATATACGTGTGTGTTTGTGTGTATGTGTATATCTATAATTATAACGAGTCAATGAATATCTTACTTTATATAGGAGAGAGAGAGAGAGAGAGAGAGAGAGAGAGCGAGAGAGAGAGAGAGAGAGAGAGAGAGAGAGAGAGAGAGAGAGAGAGAGAGAGAG